AATAATTAATCATTAATTAGCTCATAAGTTTGATTAATTAATTTATTAAATAAATTTTTACATAATTACTCATTCAGTTAAATTATTAACAATATTCAAGATTTAATTGTTAGTTGAAATATAAATTTAATATTAGAAATTAACGATAAGATTATGTTCAAATTAAACTAAATTTAATTAAAATTTTCAATTATACTTATTAATACTTAATTATTCAAATTTATTACGTAAAATATAAAAATGATATAATTATTATGTCTAATTAAATAAATAAGAGTTAAATTTAAATTTCTAATTATACTTATTTATAAGTAATTATTCACTAAACCAATTAATCATTAATAAGCTTGAAGACAGACCGGAGAATACTTGGCGTGTAATTAGAATCCCTAATCCACATTGTGCACGGTAGTAGGCACGTCCATTCAGACATCAACTATTAAATTAGAAAAACTTGGGAGAAATAAACACAGTAAAGGACCCTAAAGACTAAATACAAAAATCTAACGGTCTGAATCGATGCAAAATAAAACTCATCAAGCTCATCCTTTGTTGCAGTACGGCACCAAAACTCTTCTCTTAGCATCCCTACAACCCAAATCCAAACAAGAGTCAGCCAGCCCAGATAGCCAAGAAATGGCTCCCTCATAAAACTCAGTAGCTGCATGATGTCGCCACATGCATGTTCTGAGAATACAAAACCAAATGTAAACCCTTTCTACAAGTACAGAGAGTTGGCAAACATTATTCCGCGCCGAAGACTTTCAGAGCCAGATTCAAACTTTTTCTCGAGATTGGTTTCACCAACAGCATGAGCAGCAGCTTTCAACTGCACGAGAGCAAATTAGCAACATTAGCTTGCTTAGATGGAGGCAAATCATAAATACTGCTTTTTCTTGGCAATCAGAAAGTATGTCGGGGTCATTACACTTTTGAATATAACACATGAAGGCAACAAACTTTCAGGCAGAGTAAAAAATTGTGATGTTTTTGGTTCGTGAGACGGGGAGTAAGCGTTGAGATGTTTTGAGGCATAAGCCTCAAATTTAAAAATTACGCAATTAATAAATATTGCATAAACTATTAAGTGTAAAATTATGCATATTAATATTTTAACTTATTGACACATTAAAAAGTAATATAATGATATTTAAAAAAACAATCATAAATTGCATTAAGTAGGAGTAGCATGTTAATATCCTAACATTAAATTATAAAATTAGATGATTTATATAAACATTAAATTATTGAAGTACGATAAAGTTTTAAAATAAAATACTCAAACATCAAAACATAACAACAAAATAAGTTTAACAAAAGTCTTTATTTCTTATTCGTACCCTCAAAACATAACAACAAAATAAGTTTAACAAAAGTCTCTATTTCTTATTCGTACTACCCCCACTAAACCAAGAATATAACAAGTCCTAAACATTTCAATCTTAAATATAAAAGGTCTCTCTTACTCTCATTACCCAATTGATTTTCACTAGAATCATCAGCATAATGAATTATTTATCTTAGTGTCTTATACTTGCTCATATCAATATTCTTTGATCTCAATTATCTTCTAATTTTTAATGAATAAGCATCAATAATATATTAATTAAAATAATAATTACGTTGATAATTAACCTTCAACTACATAATTTTTTTATGAATAGCTCTTCCTTTTAATTATTATTATTTAGTGTGAGAAGTGTGAGGGTTAATAGGTGGGATATATTAGTATTACTTTTGGATTTATTAAAAATATCTTTGAAATGCCTAAAAATTTTGAGGAGATTTTTGAGACGATGCTTGGATGAGGCATATGCCTCACCCTGGGATAATAAGTTATAAGAGTCATTGCGATTTTATTTTGTAAAATTCTGTCTCACATTTCACAATTTTAAAGAAGACATTCCAAAAATATTACCTGATTCAAGAATTCATCCAGCCGTCTGGCTAGGCGTATGATACTTCCCTCGAAAATCTCTGTCATTTGGATCACTTCCGCAAATGTTGCGCCCTTCAAAGAATTCAATGGAAGTCAGGTCAGTAAGAAATTACAAGCAGAAGCTGAGAAGCTGAGAGAATGAATGCTATGATATTTAATTTAAAAAAAAGAAAGAAAAGGGAAAGTTTCATTCGGTTGCAGGAGTTCAATCCGAAGGGAAGGCGCACCCTGGACCAGCAGTAAATAACATCCATCAAATATGGCCTCACAGTTGATTCAACATATTCCTCCACATTAACGTCCAATTTGCACTCACGTTGTACCTGCATATGATGCACTATGCAGTTTAGTTTAATCAGCATAAATAGTTTCTCTTCAGAAATAAACGTATAAAATAAGAGCGGCATTTACATATACCACTCAATTCCTATGAATTTACATATCTAACATCTAAATTTCGTTTCTTACAAAAGAAATAATTGCTCCAAAAAACTCCTCTATGCATTCATGACATGGGCTTGTATAGAACATTCAAATGTTTTACAAACAAACCCCTGGGCTTCTTCTATATTTCCTTTTTACCAATAGGACCATAAACTAGAAACAAATCTCAACACTTACTCTCAAGATGAGGAAAAGATATCCACTAAGCCCATCTTGTCACATAACCTAGACAAATCTAATGAGCCAAGTCCTTTGATGAGGCAGTCAGCCACTTGCTCCCCAATGGCTATAAGAGTTAGCTTCAATAGCCCGTTATTCAACTTTTTCTTAATGAAGAACCTATCAATCTCCACGTGTTTGGTTCTATCGTGTTGCACCGAGTTGTTGGCAATGTTGACTGTTGTTTGTAGCCGCACCACAACTTCATTTGAGCTCATTGGTCCACCTTGAGCTCTACCAACAAGGTTCTCAACCACATCATCTAAGCGACTCCTAAGGCCATGGCTCTATATTATGCCTCTGTTGTTGACCTAGCTAATACCGATTGTTTCTTGCTCTTCCAAGAGACCGAGTTGCCCCATATGAATATGCAGTATCCTGATATGGACCTTCTGTCATCCACACAACTCGCCCAGTCAAAGTCACAAAAGCCCTCAATTTCTACATGCCCACTCTTCCTAAAGATTACCTCCTTTCATGGTCCACTCTTCAGGTATCTTAGAACCTCATACACTGTGTCCAAATGACTCTTCCTTGAATCATGCATGTAGCGGCTCACCATGCTCACTACAAATAAGAAGTCAAGACAAGTGTGGCTCAGAAAGATCAGCGGCCCACTTAACTCTAGTACCTCTCGTGATTAAATGGCTCTCCTGCCTCTATACTCAAGTAGGCCTTTTGATCAATTGGAGAGAACCCGAGCTTGCATTCCAACATGTCTATTTCCTTGAGCAGATCCAGTACATACTTCCTTTGAGACAAGATCATCCCTTTCTGATCCACGGGTCACCTCAATCCCAAGTATCTAAAATGTCCAAAATCCTTCACCTCAAATTTTTTGTCGACTTTTATCTTTAACTAAGTGATCTCAACATCATCGTCACTAGTGACAATTATGTTATCAATATACACAACAAGTATAATGGTGTGATCTCCATGTTGTCAAAGAAAGTTTATCTTTAACTAAGTGATCTCAACATCATCGTCATTAGTGACAATTATGTTATCAATATACACAACAGGTATAATGGTGTGATCTCCATGTTGTCAAAGAAAATACGTTCATTATTAATCTGTCGATATTCAATGCCCACCATAACCCTTCTAAACTTATTAAACTGGACTCGAGGAAATTGCTTCAAGCCATAAAGTGACTTCTTGAGCTTGCACACATTGTCCACTGTCTGGAATTTATAGAATCTTGGTGGCATATCCATATACACCACCTCCAGTAACTCATCATGAAGAAACACATTCTTTACATCAAGTTGGCGTAACCACCACCCACTATTCACTGCTAGAGAAACTAGTGCCCTCGTTGTGTTCATCTTTGTTATTAGTGTAAAGGTGTCATCAGCCTATGTCACACGTCTAACTGTACCTTTTTGCCACCAATCTTAATTTGCAACGCTCTACCTTCACTCCTGAATTTTGTTTCACTGTGAAGATCAACTTGCACTCGACTGCTCTTTTTCTCGTTGATAGTGGTATTATCTCCCATGTTTTGTTTTTATCAAGAGCTTTTTCCCATTGGTAGTGGTATTATCTACCATCTTCTGTTTTTATCGAGATCCCCAAGCGCTTCATGCATGGCCTCTTTTCAATTGGGATCCTCCATAGCTACATGCCAACACTTGGGAATAGGTACATTATCCAAAGTTGCAATGAATGCTCCATGTACATTGATATGTTAGAGTATGAAACAAACTAAGCAAAGTCATGTTCTCACCCAAAACGATTCGGAGGATGTCTCGCATTACTGTGAGAGATCCTCCTCAAAGTTATGAAGTTGGAAGTAGAAGGAAGAGGAATCATAACACCTGTGAATTCTAAGTCTGAGGTGGATTGTGTGGTGTCACAATAGTCAGGATAGACTGGAACAAGGGACTTGCTGGCACAAGTAGCACTCCAGGCATAGTTCCCTCATTTTGCTTTCTCCTTGTATTCACCCTCAACTTCCCTTTAGCCTGAATCCCACCACATCTAGGTTCAATCTCCTCAATTTTCGGCTCCTCAGCTGATTCATCTCACATCACAGAACAAAACATTGCTCCCACGGGTACAAATCTCTCGCAATTACTACTTATCCCATCTTACCTCATACCTTAGTATCTGGCAAGTCATCAAAGGGTGATGTCGCATTCGAGGTGTAGTACGGTTTGAATTCTCTAAATAACACATCTCATGCTTATAAACAATCTACTCTTCGTAGGGCTCCAATAAATATACCCTTTATGGGTAGCAGAATAACTCATGAAACACACTTCATAGCTCTGGGATCCAGCTTTTCTATTGATGGTTTGTTGTCTTTCACAAAACATACACAGTCAAATACCTTCAATGGGAGAATCCCGTTATTATCTTCTTTCAACATATGACAAGGAAACTTTTAATCCAACACCCTCAAGGGTATTCTGTTGATCAATTGAGCAGCTACAACACTGCTTGCATCCACAAGTGCTTTGGGACATTCATTGCAGTCATCATGCTTCAGACTATCACTAGAATATGCTATTTTTCCTCTCTGCTACTCTATTTTGTGGTGGAGTGTATGAACATGTGGTATGCTATTTTTCCTCTCTGCTACTCTATTTTGTGGAGTGTATGAACATGTGATTTGATGTTGTATTCCTTGAGCTGACAAACATTCTCCAAACGCCTTACTGGTATATTGTCTCATTACCAGATCTCAATACATTTACTACCACACCAAATGAGTCTGGGTTATCTTGTGGAAATTGTTAAAACAAGCACACACATCATCTTTATTTTTTATCGAATACAACCAAGTAACACGGCAAAAACAATCACAAAAATTCTTAAAATATCGATAATCATTCATTGAACTAGTAAAACAAGGTCCCCAAAAATCAGAATGTATCAAATCAAAAATACAAGAACTTCTATTCCCAAAACTAATATAAGAGCCCATAGTAAGCTTGCCAAAATCACAAGCATCACAAATAATTTTACGAAGCTTGCCAAAATCACAAGCATCACAAATAATTTTTCGTTTATTTGTCTTTTCATACAAAAATTAATACAAACGACTAAGTAGACTAAAACAAGAATGTCTCAAGTGTCTGTGAAGTAGTAGTAATACATCCTCCTCACTCCTCCCAGATACCCCTACGCCAGCATTCTCTACTATGGATGTTAAAGTCGAGTCCATCCTCTCTCTACCCAAGTACCAAAGTCTATTATGCGACATTCCAGTCCTAAGTGTCTGGTCCGTTCATTTCTCTTGAAAGACCACCATAAGAATGTCAAATGAAACACATTTTAGTTGGGGAATAATGCACTAATGAATAAAAGGTTCACTGGAAAAATATGATCATACCAAACATTGGACCAAGTCATAGAATCGGTACACCTCATTGTACTCTTACCAACTACACGCTGTGTTGCACTATCAACAATTTAGATGTTCTCAAGAACTACTATGTGAGTATAGAAAAAGAACTTTAGTAATACCTGTGTCACATGTCGGGATGCACCAGAATCTCCTATCCAATTTAATGATCTTATTGTGAAAATAAAGACGAGCATGAGTAAAACAAGTACCTTTGTCAGGGTGAGTATATGAAGCAATGTTATCCATTGATGACGCTGAGATGGAAGCATCCTCGGCCCTATCCCTTGTTGTTTTTTTCTTTCTCTTCAACATCTTAAGAAACTCGTGATCCTCTTTAGTAAAGACCACACATGTCTCTCTCTCGTCCTCAACTACCATCAGATTTGTCTGGTAGCTCCCTTTTTCACCTCTTCAACCACCACGACCAAAACTACGACCTCCAAAATGTCTACAACCACCTGTCTCTCTCTCCTTAGGTGGCCTACTTCATCGCATTTGTAGCACTTGCGAGTCTCCCCCTTGACACATGTCATACCTGAGCTCGAGGCGACTAAAGCTGATTGCGTACTTGAAAGAATGGCTGTCAAAAAGGCTTGTTATTCGTGAACATCTCATGTTCGACTTGTTAAGTAACTTGTGTTAGATTCTTTCGTTAAGTAAACGAGCCGAACACAAAAAAAAAATTAAAATTTTATTTATAAACGAGCTAAACACAAACAAATGTTTTTTTCATTTGTGGTCGACTCATTTTTGCTCGAAATAATTAAATAATTAAATAATAATATTTATTTGTCATTTTTATATTAATTTGTTATATGTACTACATAAAAACAAAATTTTATTATTTTTAAAAATTTTTTGGGTGGCATGCTTATAAAAAAAATATAAGTTTAGGTATCATAAATGTAAATATATAAAACTTGGGTGGTATGTGTTCATGTCCCAAAAATAAAGCTTAGAGCAGCAAGCCAAGTTCAACGTTGGAAGGGTACCATGCATGGGCCTATGGATGTGCTATCTTAAGCATTTTAGTCCCACACCTCGAATGACAAAAAAATCTTTGAGAAAAGCTTATAAAAGCTAAAACTAAGGCTTTCCTAAGCAAATAAATTTGTACAATTTTGGTGTTAAACATCTGAATTATTTTTATTGAAAACAAATATTTTTTTAAATTAATAATAAATTAATTAATTATATTATTTAGTCTCATGAGGTGTTTGAAATTAAATTCGAGCCGAACACGAGCCTAATTCAAATAAATGAATTTAAATTGAGCCAAACACGAATATGCTATTAACGAGCTATTTCGAACACTAGCAGAATACAAACAAAAAATTTTTTAACGACCCAAACACCAAAAGAAACAAAAATTAATGAGCCAAACACGAACGAGCTCTTAGCTCTCTTACGTTCGACTCATTTAGACCCCTACCTGGAAGTTCACTCGGCTCAGAGTGAAGTCTCATGTGACTCTCCTTTTGTATCATCGCAGCGATGACCTCATCCAATGAATGCATCGCCACCTGGGCTGAGAGGACTAGTCTTCTCTGATCAATGGCTGGGTGCAAATGGGTCAGAAACTGCATAGTCCTCATCTATGCAAAGATCTCCCCCTTCTTACTCCACAACTCGACATTGGTGAGGAGTGATCAAGATCTGCCCACAGTGACTCCAAATCCATGGAATACTCCTGAATTGATTTATCAACCTATACCACTGCTTCTATCTCAAGCTGAATCTAGAATGCCCTCATATGATTCTCAGTCCCAGCATAAATCCTCTTCAGCTTTACCCAGATATTACTCATCTTTCAAGCGCCATCAACTGTGGAAGCAATCGGGGGAACCATAGCGTTGAGTAGCTAGGTGTAAAGCAAGGTGTGTGGTTCTCCACTCATCCCTCTCAGCACCATCACTTTTTAGTTCGTCCCTAATCAAATATCTCTCTAGTATCTTCCTTAGTAGGCAGCCTTGATCTGACACGACCAACTCAAATATGTGGTCGGACCATCAAGCTTCAGATTCACTATCTCCAGTGCTTGACATCCCCAATCATAAGAAACCAAGTCTAGATCACATGTGACTTCCTCTTTTCTACCCGATTTTCATTTATCTCATCATCGAGATTGAGATCCTCCGCATATCAACCCATTCCTTAGAATCATGACCATGGGGTGAAGCCCCCCAGAAGGGCTCTTCAACCGACAGACAAGATTTTGATGCGGCGGCCGGCTAGTTATGAGAGAGCGGTGGCCGAGAGAGAGAAAGGTGGTCGGGTGAGGGAAGGCTTTCGCTCTTGGGTCCTGCGCGCACAGGGAAGAACGAAGAGGGCTTTGGCATGTTGGATCACATGTGAGGCAAGGAGAAACGTGTGAGGGCTTCGGTTTCGTCCGGGCAGAAGAAGACTTCAGCCTGCTAAGACTGGATCGCTTGTGAGACTCCCAGGGCTCTGATACCAAAAAGAAATAATTGCTCCAAAAACTTCCTCTATTCATTCTTGCATGGGCTTATATAGAGTATTAAAACATTTTACAAATAAACCCTAGGCTTCAATTATATTTCTTTTTTACGAATAGGACTCTAAACTAGAGACAAATTACAACACTTACATTTATACCTTTTAAAAATTTATCACAATTTTAACTTTTAAAAAGTGAAAAACAACTTTTCATGCATAACTAAGGTAGGTATAGGATTGAATTTTAAGTAATGCATATATGAATACATAGGAATTGAGTGGTATGTATGTAAATCTTCCAAAATAAAAACAAACAAACCTCGGCTATTTTTCTGGCACTCTCCTGAAGCTGTTGTAAAGGTTTTGCTAGCTCAATTCTGGAAAATACTTGATCGCTTGATTTATCTCCTGGAATAAAGCAGCTTGCAAGAGCAACAACTTGATGTGGATCGAGATCATTAAACGTACCTTTCACAACATTACAATCAATTAACCAAGACAGTTCTGCGAGCAATCAACACAAAAAGTTAAAGAGTAAAAAATATTCAATTGGGTATAGAGAAAAACCATTAAACATAAGCTCTGTGACAAGAAGTTCGTCTCCGGTGTCGATCAGACAGGCAGCACGCCCCTTCAACTGAACTACACTGTCTGCATCTATGTGACCAAGCACCTTTAGAACCCGTGAACGGTTTTTAAGCTCATCACGGAACTTTTGGAGCTGCACAAAAGGATTAGAAAACCAATTCCATCAATTAAAATTCAACAAATTAAAAGAACAGTTTTTATGCTATGTAAAACCCTAAGGCCCACGATGTGAATGAAATGCTTACCATAGAGTAACTAAATATTGATTGAACGGGTATAAGCTCCACCAAACATAAAAATGGTAAAACAGGAGGATAAATAAAGTTTAGATCACCTGAGATTCCCTCATCTTGGACTTAAGCACTTGGATTTCATGATTCAACTGAGCTTTTCTTTGGAATGATTTGTATTGCTTCTCAGTTTGGCTAGACTAGGGAACACAAAGCAACTGGTGTAGCATGGTAGTTATGCCCATAAAAAAAAAAAAAAATTTATCAACCACAAAATATGGTACCAAACCGAGTAAATACGGACCTCATGCAATGGATGAGTAGTTAGTTTCTGCTCCAGTTCTTCAATTTTAGCAACTAATCCAACAAGTTCCGGCTCATTGATACCCATATCCTGATAGCATAAAAGAGAGATTTAAGACATTTATGACATCAGGCTATGGTCATATCACTTAAAACCTATGAATAAGTATGTTTAACTTAAAAAATCTAAAACAAAAAGCTTCTTCAATGAAGGTCGTGATATTTGAAAGTATAGATGATGCTCAACACTTATGACAGACGCATACAAAGTTTGATCTATAAGAAGGAATCTATAAAAAAGGATCGATGTGACATACCTTAACTGGATTTAACCTGGGTAGCCCATGAGGAAATTGCTTTTGTAGCTCCTGCACAGCTAGGAGTACTGTCTGCCTTGCTTCTGCAGGACGAAGATCAGAAGGAAATGAAATTCTTATGCTGCTGATGCCAGATATTAGATGTAATGGTACAGGAACCTGCAGTATACCATGCAATTAAAAATTACTCCTGAACCAGTAAAAGTAAATGGATTACAACTTTAATCCATCTAAATCAAGATTAAATACAAAAAAAAAACTCTAAATCATTCCTGAAAAGTTGGTTGCTTTCATAAGCTGGAACTCACCACATGCATTTCACCCCTTTCTCCAGGACAAGGTGGGATTGGTTTTTGCCGAGAACCACTGTCACCTGATCCAAGAGAACAGTGAAGCAAAGTATCGACAAGATAACTACTGCTGCGTGAGGCTGCAAGTGCAGGTGGTAATGAAGCTACTCCTGAAGGCGGTTTTTTTACCACATTAACTACAACTCCCCAACCCCAATCGGTCCCACCCTCCCGTACCTTAACCTGAAAAACCAAGCAAAAGAAGCCCAAAAACTGTTTATTTCATCCTTGATGATTAAGAGAAGGTTGCTGTAAGCTCCAACATTTAAACATTTTAATTGATGTCATCGGGGAATGGTTCTTTTATAAACAACACACCCAAGAATTTAACTATAGGGGGGAAGCAAACATCAATTGAACTTGAAGATATGTAGAGGTTACCAGAAACATACCAGTCTACCGGGAACTAAATAATACAAAATCCTCTCTGGTCTGGTGATTTCAGACATGATCTTCCTTTCAAGTTGTGCAATTTCAAGTCCCAGATTATGATACTCAGCAAGTTCAGTCTATACCAAAGAAATGAAGTCAATGTAAAGCATAAGCATTGAATGTAAAGATATTTACCGCAAACTAAGACATCACCTCGCCTGAGGATTCAAGCATAGCAGCTTCTCTTTCCAATTTTGATATTTTGTTATTCATATCCGGTAAAGACTAAGTATTTAAAAAAAGTAGAGAAAACACTTATCAATATTTCCAGAATTAAAGCCAAAGAGTTCGCATCAAATAATTGAGAAAATAAATAAGAATTTGCACCAGACCTTCTCATACTGGAACTGGTGGAATGAATTCTTGATAACATGCTCGGCTGTAAATTGACCCTCAGCACGACTCAGTAAATTTAGAATGGAGTAATAACTCAACCTGAAAGTGCTGACCAAAGGGGCAGGTTTACCCAAAACCATGTCCTTGAGAACATCCATTTCCATCTGAAACAAAACCATTAAAGTATCACATCCACTTCGTTTCAGTTACTCACAAGATGCTAAAGTAAAATACTTCTTGGAAAAATCATAAAATACTTCTAGTATAAACTACAATATTGTCATCAGTATTAAGTTTCAATGCACTTTCTTTTCACATTTTGGTGCTACAATAGAACATGAACCCCACAAATCAGATATAGACAGCGAGTAAAGAAGAAAAGTAACACAAAACTGAGTAAAGATTACAAACTATCGGAAGAAGTTCCTGATTGTGATGCGTTTACCTTCTCATCAATCATTATAATGCAAATGCCACGCTCATCTTTACCACGACGACCAGCTCTTCCACTCATCTATTCATGGGGCATGCAGATGATACAAACTTGTTAGAAAAACATTAACGGATATGCAGATACATGCAAGAATTATGGAAAATGATCAAGTGATGAATTATTTTTGTGGTGAAGACATCACAAAAAAGGTATTATTCCTGACCTGGATGTATTCACCAGATGCAATATAACGATGGCTGTCACCATCCCATTTTCTCACAGATGTGAAAACGACGGTCTTGGCAGGCATATTCAGACCCATAGCAAACTAGAGGGACCAAAAGCCACACATGTTAAGGTTAAAAATATTTGAATAGTTTTCGAGTAGGATTTAGCAAAAGAAGAAAGCCAATAAAGCCAAAAACAGTAACACATGGAAAAAAAATATTTAAACATTTACTGACAATGCTCATTCGGAATTGCAAAATTTACAAATAATACTTCCTATCAAACATTCCTAAACTCCAAACAAACAAATCTATTTGCCTAAATCACTACGTCACTAGGGCTTGCTTGGGATCATTTTTATTTTTTGTGTTTGCTTTAATTTTAGGAATATGTTTGTTTAGCGCATTTTTTTTATGTTTTTATTTTTTATTTCTAAAAATAAATTAGCGTGTTTTTAAAAACACTCAATGGATCTAAAAGTTGTTTTACCTGTTTTCAAAAACAACTAAATAAATTATATCATATTAAACTTGTTTCGTTTTAAACCAAAACAAAAACAATACAAAAGAAAAACAAAAACAAAAAAACCAAAAAAAAAAAAAATCAAAAGTGATCATAAACCAAAAACAAAAAAACCAAAAAAAAAAAAAAACAAAAGTGATCATAAATAAACGATCCCAAAGCTTACCTATCCAGATCCTAGCTCCAGAAAGTCATACATAGGAAATGTCAGCATCACAAATATGGCAATGAACTTACTGTTTCTGTGGCAAAAAGTGCTTTGACAAGGCCTTCCTGGAAAAGCAACTCTACTAATTCCTTAATTATTGGAAGCAATCCTGAATGATGGACTGCTATGCCTCGTTGGAGTAGCGGAAGCATTAGCTTAATAGCTGGTAAGTTTCTATCTTCCTCGCTCAAGCAAAGGATGGCATTTTTAAAAACCTGTTCAACAATCTCCTTTTCTTCTTCGGAGTTGAAGTCAAGTTTAGCCATAGACATAGCATGTTGTTCGCACTCCCTTCTGCTAAAGCTGAAAATTATTACCGGCTGGAATTTTCGCTCCATTATCATCTGAATAACCAAAAACACAAAAATTACACATTAGGCATGAAGCTTTAGTATAAAACCAAAAAATAATCCAGTATAAAACTCACAATGATAAAGGCAAAATGAACACAGATTGAGCATAAAGCCTTAAATATGCCTTGTCTTAGGTAAATCAAAAGCATATGATATTACAGCTTCAAGAGTTGAAATGAAGAATTAACAAACAAATAGTAATTAAAGTGCAATACATCCTGTAAGACATTTAAAGAATATGGTAGAGAAGAATGAATCGGTAGTTATAAGCTACTTCCTGAGAAAAGCTTGGTGATGCAAGGTTGAAAATTTGGAGAACCAGAGAACCAGTACAAAGCTTCATTTAACATAAAGTAGTAAAGAAGAAATGATTAGAGGGAATCAATTTGGAACGGTAGTCAGACTTTAACGGTATTTCAAAATTGCAAAGGAATCAGCACAAGAAGCTGACAATTCCTTCTATAAATCATATCTCCCTGAACTGGCTTGTATAACAAAAAACTGATAGAATGTTCAGCCTGAATATTTTGCAGCACTAAATATATAAAAAAGGAAAGTATCATAAATCAAATTAAAATGCTGTATATATTATCTCCTGTTTCATCTATCAGTAGCACATTGAACAATTCAAACCACCACTAAGATGTACATGAAATCAAAATATGCGTCAAATAAATTACATTCAAAGGTGATTCAATAGACGAGCACACATTTGCACGAAGCAAAATAAAAGAAAGGTGATTCAATAGACGGGCACACGAAGCAAAATAAAAGCCAGCGTAAAATGAAGTAGGGAGAATTTTACATTATAAATGCATCATGCCATGAAAAAAAAAGTGTCCTCTAAGATCTATTAAAATTTGTCAGACTTATAAAATATAGAGGATGAGAATAGAAAACTGACACTATTCACAACAAATAAAAAAGACAGCAAGAGAAGATATAACAAAAATTATAACATAAGAGCAACAATTAAACATAAAAAAAAAAATCAATCCTTATGAATGAGATAGAAACAATAATATGTGTATACCATGCAACCAAATAATTCTAAATGTACTTCCTCTTAAATACAGCAGAAGAAGTTATACCTTCACGATCTTATATATGTCAGAACCCGCAGAAGCAGTACCACCCTTTGCAATCCGGCTACTGGCTTTACCATTACGGTGCCCATCCACCTGACTCTTTTGTTTCGTGAATGTCCCCTGCAGCTTTGCAAAATTATCCTCTTTAAACTGGTCATTCTCATCCACCACAAGGTACAAACCAGATCCACCCACCGGGAATACATAGTGCTGTAAAGGTGTAGGCCTGAAGTCCGTATACACTACATGACAAGGTTGTTTATGCAACTTGCATATCCACTCCGCAAATTCTGTAGCATTTGACATGGTCGCAGATAAGAACACCATCTTGATTGCTGGAGGCAAGAATATTATACTCTCCTCCCATACAACCCCTCTTTCTCGGTCTTTCATATAGTGTATCTCATCAAAAATAACCCACGCTACCTCCTTTAATAGTTCCGTACCCCTATAGAGCATTCCTCTGAGGATCTCTGTAGTCATGACTAGGCAGTTGGCATGAGGTGAAAGGGTCACATCACCGGTCATCAAACCAACATCAGAAAACTCCTGATTTAACTCTCTGTATTTCTGATTGCTTAGAGCTTTCAAGGGTGAGGTATAGATAACCCGCTGCTTGTCCCGGAAGGACATTGCAATGGCATACTCAGCTACAGCTGTCTTACCTGCAGAAGTGTGAGCAGAAACCAAGACAGACTCATTCCGCTCCAGACATGCTATTGAAACTCGCTGAAATGGATCTAATTCAAATGGATATGTTTTAGCCATTTTGTCATTATAGATTGGATTCTCTAATGTTCCGTGAACTGATTCATCCTTCGATGAACTGAAGTCATCTGGAACAGCAACCTCATGAATGCAAGTTCGAGAAATATTACGCCTTTTTACTGCACTTTCAGATTTTTGAGCTTCGCTGGGCAACGAGGGATTTTCACTTGATGGTTCATTTGAAAGCTTCCTCTTGCTTGTAACTGGGACCGTTTCCATCTCCTGATGTGAGCTTCAATAATCCCGCACGATGAAGTTTAAAATGTCCTGATAGAGAAGAAAAGAGAAATGACACAACATACAAATAGAGGAAAATCATACTAAGAAACTGGATATTCAGAGAGATTTACTTCCTGCATAACCACAAATTGGAGCGTGCAGAGGGAAAAAGAAAAGAAAATAAAAAAGGGAATAAAATGAGGTTTCTCAAACTAGACCCATTTTTTTAAAGAAAAATCACCCCCAAAAAATAAGACAGATGTAAAGCAGCAAATTTTATAAAGTATATAAATTAAGAAGCCCGAAATAGCATGCATGTTCAAAAACAGGACATAAAAATGCCATAGGCACAATGACACACTGTAAACTCTGATAAAATTGAAATTTTAAACTCAATGTGCATCAAGGACTAAAAATCAACAATATATGTACGGATATATCCCTATTACATATTTCTATAGCATCCAAAAAAATATATAATCAGACCACACAAACTAGAACAGCACTATTCTAGAGCTAAATATACTGTACTATTTACCCGTTATTGAAGAAATAAGGCAAACAATCAAATACAAGTATTCATGCTCTTTCTAAACGATTAAAAGGAATCATGAAACTAGGCCCACGTTTATTACAAAAAGTGCAACTAAATTCCCTTCTTTTAAAAGTTACAATATCGTTCCTTCTCTTTAAGTAATCTCACTTAGGCCCCTAATTTTAGAGAAATATTTGTATACGGAAGACACAAAGTTGCGTGTGTACTCCATTAACCCCGCAATACCCCTATAATAACCTATGAAATACATCGAAATAGAACCCGTGAAGGTTATTGGAAGGTTATTGGGGTTATATGTTATTAAAATTAATACCCCAATAACCCCAAAACAGAAATTATTGAAGGGTTATTACGCATGTAACTCTGCGTGCGTGTTCCGTATACAAATATTTCTCCTAATTTTAACAGAGGTCGGCAGCAGTAAATAAAGTGTTAGATTACCACCTAACTCTAAAACAGTATTTTGGACAGACAAAAACCATTGTTTACAACTTCCTTGCCTTTCGCTCAACCGCCACTATCAAAGAACCAACACCCACCACCCACCTCTGCCATCCTAAACACCAACAACATACAAAAATAAAACACCGCCAACCATTTGGAAAGGTTCTTGGAAACTTCATTTCAAAAAATATATAAAAGCAAGTGGCAGTTACGGCGCTCAACTATGTCTTTCAATCAAAGCATCTTCCAGATGGCATAACCATTTATTGCATCCACACCATAACTATAGTTTGTGAATTCAAAAACTCAGGCAGGGAGTGTAAAGCACTTTCGAAGTAACCATCAGTTATAGTTCTAATGGAGACTAATTCTACTCAACAGCCATGGTGAAGGGGAAAGCTCGAAGAGAAAGAGCAGGAACCAGCCTGCAATAGATATAAAGGCAATGGTGTTTAGATGGAAGATAGGAAAAGAAAAATATAAGAGGTGACCTTTCCTATGGCTTGCAACTGTTGCAACAAAGAAGGCTATGATTGCTTAGCTGCAACAAATAAGAATGGATTAGAAAAGCAAGGAGAAGAAGAGGATTGTGATTAAGAAGTGTAACCACAGGGAAACAACAGAAGAAATTGAAGATAGCAAATTGCTATTTTTTGTCCACATCTCCATGAGAGCAAAAATGTAGAAACAGGATTTGCACAAAGATAGAGATTGACAGAATAGATTTCGTGGGTCGCGTGACCTGTGTCAAATAGAAAATGAATTTTTTAAAATAAATTGGTAGTTAAAATATGAAGATTAAGTGATATTATCTAATCTTTTCTACAAATAAAACACATATTTTTTATATTCATAACTTTCTTATGTTAAATAAATGATTATTACCATTTATAAAGATTTTCTAAAAATGTTTCTTGATTATTGAAATATATTAAAACCTTATTTGTCATCATCATCACCATTTGACTTAAACCAACTATTTTGGGTTTGATTTTAACCATCGTCAATCCTAATATTTCAATTCTTATTTTTCTACTTGGTGCATTTTCGAACAACTATTATACATGCTCAAACCACTTGAATCTATTTTGAACTACTTTTTCTTCATCAGTTGTCACTCCCAACTTTCAACTGTAATCATTCCTTTACCATTCTTTCCAATTTTTTTCATATATTTGTCTTAACACTCTCATTTTCATAATGCGCGACTTAAGCTCTGTTTAGAGTGCTTGTAGAATTTTAAAAAGGTAGTTGTAAAGTTGTGGTGGAGAAAACAACTTCTTAGAAAGTTGCAATTGGAATTATAAATATATATTTATTTTTCCAAAAACCCAGACAGCAGTTTTCTTATAGCCACCACACATTAACAAATTAGGTTGAAAAAAGCAGCTTCCCACAATAGAAACTTCTAAAAAACAGCAAGAAAACAGCCCCCCAAATGAAGCTTTGGTGGCGGTCTGAAATGTAAAACACGTAGAAAGCTGTCCCAAACAGAACCTTAACCATTAGCAACTTTTAATTTTCTAATACTCAAAATCAACCAAAATAGTTTGTCTAATTATCCTTTTATAAATTTTGCCTTTCAATTACATTATACACTATTATCACATACTACTCCTAAGCTATTTTTTTTTAGCCACACTACCTTAACTCTATGAGTTATAACCTCATTTATATCTCCATTAATCTATGAACAAAATCAACGATACAAAAACCTATCACACCAATATTACTTTCTCATTTGGTAATATTAATTGATAATTATCACTATCATACCCACTAAAATGCATATCATATTCTCACATTTTTCTATATTTCTAAAGCCTCCAAATTTTAAACATTTTCTCGGTGTTCTAAATTTTAGTTGTATTGAAAGGTAATTAATACAACAACAACAACAAGCCTTTATCACATTAAGTGGTGCCAGCCGCATAAATCATTTTTCTCCATTATGTCCTAATGAGTGTCATATTTTCATTCAATTCTAATAAATTAAGATTATTTTTTATACAATATGCCCTAGTCTTTTTAGGTCTAGTTTTGACTTTCTTAACATAAGTCGAATCAAAAACATCTGCTTCTAACTGGATCATCAATTGGTCGACATTTAATGTGACAAAACCATCTAAGACGATAATCTCTAATCTTGTTTGTCACCGGGGCTACAACAACCCTTTCACGAATACATTCGTTTCACATTTTGTCTCTAAGTATCAAGCCACTCATCCACCTAAGCATTCTCATCTCAACAACACTTAACTTAGTTTTACTCTTCTGTTTTAAAGACCAACATTATGTGTCATAAAGCATTGCAGGTCTCACCACCATATTATAATATTTTCCTTTAAATCTAAGTGATAATTTTCTATTACACAATAGGTCCGTTGCATTCCTACACTTCAACCAACCAACTTGAATTCTACTAATAACAACCCCATCTATATTACCATTACTTTGAGCAATAAAACTGAGATATCTAAAACATTCACACTGTTTAATAGCTTAATCGCCCATAATTACAACTCTGCCATTAGATCTATTACTACTAAAATTACATTCCATATATTCAGTTTTAGATCTACTCAGACAAAAACTTTAAACTCCATTGTAGACCTCCATAATTTAATTTTTTCCTGAACTCTTTCTCCAGTCTTACCCACGAGAAGGATATCATCAGCTAAAAGCATACATCAAGGTACATCCTCCTATAAATGTCCAGTAAGAGAATCCATAAATAAAGCAAAAGGATGTGGACCTAAAGTTGATCCCTGATGTAATCCAACTGAAATAGGAAAATACTTGGTCAATCCTCTTCTATTCGAACACAAATATACATATCTTTAATGACTTGAATATAAGTCACGTCAAAACTTTTCTTTTCCAAAACTCTCTAACGAACTTTCAAGGAACCTTATCGTTAGCTTTTTCGAAATCAATAAAATCATTGAAAGGTAATTAATATTTCTAAAAATTTTAAGTTCCAAGACTAAGAAACATTACTAAGAACTGTTCAAAACCCACTCTATCCAACATTAAGTTTAATTTAAATACATTCAATAAGATGTAATTTTTTACCGATGATAATTAGCTCGAGTAATATTGCTTCCATTTCACAAATCACAGTGTGTGAGGTGAGGGGTTCTACTTCCATCCATGTTTTTAATTTAGAAAAATAAATAAAATCAAGAAAATGTTCCACTCTTCAAAACACAAATCATTCTTCAATTCAATACAACTAACAAAAAAAGCATAATCGCTGACAGTAGTTAGAATGCTCCCAAACTATACATATCACCACATAATTGATTAACGCCACTAAAGAATTTCTCAGGCAACGAATTGCTACACTATAAATATGCAGAAAAGATACCCACAAAAATTATATGCATCATTTGCGACACATTTCCACATCTGCATTAGCATTCTTACAATCACAAGCCCTAAAACCTGAAATACCACCCTTCCTTGGGCCACCCCAAAATCAATTCTAAAGGAAATCATAACAACAAAACGGGCGATTATACGCGCCTTAATTACCAAATTCTAAAGGAATGTTATAATGAAGAGGGGATGCGAGTGGAGGAAGATAGCCTGGCCGGAGCATCACTTAGAGAAAACGACGGAAAGAAATATGCATATTCGAGGTCATATATAGTGGAAAAACGTACCAACGTCAGAAAAAAATGGCCGCCGGTAGAGAAGAATGGCTCGTCGGCGTAGCAAACCTGCGGCTGATTCAGCCGGTAGATGGAGGAAAGCGGTACAGCAGGTAGCTGCATGTCCAAAATGTACAATTTAGGGATTTTCTACAGTATCTGCGATTCGCTCGGCTTGAGCCGGACCGAATGATGGGCTAAACGTCGAGTCCGTAGCCTCATTTGGCACTTTGGAATTATAGACATTCTAAATTGTTCTTTGTGGATCAGCCTCAGAGAATTAAAATTGGATGAAGTGGAAGTAGATGATAGAGAATAAATTAAGTTGAGAATTCACTGTAGAGTGAGTCGCGGGAGATCCTTTTATTTGTTTTTTTGTCTTCTATTTGTAGGGGTATAGAAAGTATGGAACAGTTATGAAAATCATTATTAATATAATTTAAACTCTAATTAGTTATATAGATCTTATATCATATATGTATTATAATTTGAATTCTGATATGGGGGTAATTTATCGGTTGGTCTGTTTGAATTTAGTCTGCTGAGACGACCAACTGTGTCGGGATTACGTCTTCCAAAGTAAATGTCTATCGGCTGAGGTGCTCAATCAAATGGCAATCTCGCCCACCGTAGTAAAAGTGGGTTGGTCGACTAGCTTGAAATCAATGGCTCTTGCATGCATCTTGGTCTGTTGGGACTGAAGGCATGGTTCACTGATTGCATCTCTTGCAATAGTGTGTCGGTCGATCATGATCAAGCGGTCGTTTATTGGACGGTAGATGCATTAATTGTCTGATGCCCATCAGAGTCATTTCATTGCTTTGAGATTTGTGCTGATAGTTTTGGTATATACCCATTAGTTCCCCAAATTTGCTTACTCCTTGAAAGCGACAGCTACGATAAGAACATAAATTATTAGCTTTTTTTGATACTTGAATTAAGAAAATCAATTCAACAATTATCTTCCCTTGAATTATGTGCCCAGAGTGTTATATAAATAGAGTCATGGGCTAGACATTACATCCGTTTTCGTTATTCCACCAATGATAATTGAGTTGCACCATGGCTAATTGTTCGAGCTGGACCGCTTTGGACCCCAAAATTCTAATGAAGGTAGGCTATAGATCCATGGCTTCTATAGAGAAGGATAGAGTTGAGAAAAGGAAACGGTTGAAGCCCGAACCTATTTTGACTTATCAGGTTGATTCATCTGAGGATCTGAAGAGGCTGCGTTGAGAGTCCCTAGCAAGAAGACCATGACATACGAGCCCGATAAAGGTGTGAGCTCTAAGGGCTAGCAAGCCCTGCTTGTTGAAGGCGCTGAGGAGGGTGAAAAGAGGCCAGAGGGAGCGGAGATCGGCATCTTTCCTTAGCCTCTACTGCAAGAAGGTGAAAGTGCCTCGGTATGAAGGGTTTCCAGACCTTTTAGAGATCGGCATCTTTCCTTAGCCTCTACTGCAAGAAGGTGAAAGTGCCTCGGTATGAAGGGTTTCCACACCTTTTATTCGATGGATAGGTTTATGGGGTACGTAAAAAAAAATGATATATTTACCATTCTAATGCAGATGAGTCTGCTTGTTTGAAAGGACACTTGGACAGAGGGCCTCCGAAAGATGTGGCCGAGTTGGCCCCTAATGTTGTGGTCGAGCCTCAGAGGTGGTTGTCGTGCCTTTAACATTGATTGGTCAAAGGGAGTGCCCGCATCCTGACCCTATGTCTCTGTTTTGTCTTATTTTGTCGGCTTCTCGCCATGCTCCATATGATTGGCAACAACTCCTTCTGAATTTGTGAAATTTAGTTCGAACGTGGCCAACCACATAGTAGGGCGTCGTAGGTCTCATGCAGGAGTTAACAGGTCCTCCAACAGCCCAGGGCTCAGAGATAATGACCTGTAGACGGAGGTCGCTGCTTTGCGGAACACGCTGCCAACCACATAGTAGGGCGTCGTAGGTCTCATGCAGAAGTTAACAGGTCCTCCAACAACCCAGGGCTCAGAGATAATGACCTGTAGAAGGAGGTCGCTGCTTTGCGGAACACGCTAGATGAGATGTTATGCGAGCTGGGAGCAATTCACAAGTCGACTGTCCTATGCAAGTTCCACCGCAAGGCTGACCGACTATAGCTGATTGGGATATAAGGGGCGATGATTCTTCGAAGGCTCACTCATAAGGGATATGTCTCGACTGTGGTCTTAGAAGACCTGCTCATAAAATATTTTATTCTTGACCTGTAATAATGTTATTTGGGAATGAAAAACCATTTGAATAGCTTTGAAAATAATTTAGGTGTGACATTTATCATTACACGACACCTCGTTTTACACATCCACCATATAAATAGGGCATGAAATCATTACTTCTTACTTTACGCATTATCTTTTATGCCTTCGAGCTTTTGATTTTCCTTCTTCTCTCATTTTGTTTTCTGACCGCTCTTTGTTTTTGGAAATAGCCCCGAATTATTTCCTCACCTTTTTTAGCTTCATTAGGGGTGTTAATCACTCGTTTTTAATGGATAGCGAAGTGAAGGAGTTGCATGAGAGATATGTGTTGGATGATAGCATCACTCTTGGAAGTTCCTAGGAGCGCCTCGAGCAACATACTTGATGGGGAACGATCTTGCCTTTTAACGGAACCAGTTCAAGATTTCGATGTGGGTTGTTCGCAAAAAGGAGAAAGCGGGAACGGGGGGGGGGGGGGGGTGTGCAGGTGCATTCCTCATCTATGACTCTATTTTGATTACAATCCCGTCACTACCCCTTTGGAAATGTCATAATCCCCTCTCATGTCCCCGATAATACCTCTCGATTTGCCTTCTCTCCCTACCTTTTTCTCTTTCGTTGCAGTTTCAAAGCAAATTTCCAATCTCCTTCTCCCCTTCGTCCGTTCTCGCTGTCATCACCTCTCTCGACTCTGTCTTCCTCCTCTTCTCTCTGTTTTGTTGGTTTGATTTTGATTATTTACTTTGTTACATCATTTAGATATGTGTTTTTCGGTTTACCTGTTGGTTGTTTGAGATGGTTTTAATTCTATTGTGGTTTTGGTGCATTGGTGGTTTTAGTGTTTTGATAGTATAACTCTTCTCTTTCTTTCTGTTTCTTAATTTACCTGTTGGTGGTATAAATTCTTGCATTTTATTACAAATACATCAATTTACATTTTATATTAATAATTGCACTTACCTTTTTTTTTTCTTCATTTGAGAAAAACATTTTATGTGAAGTATTATGAGCATTGTTGGTTTTTTTAAATATATCCATGATAATTTATTTTGAGCTTTTACAAATATCTCAGTTTAGATGTTAGATTATAAATTGTATTTTCTCTTCATATTCCTCTAATTGAGAAAACAATTTTTGAGCAGAATTATAAGTTGTGTTGGTTTTTCTAAAAATATTTTTAGGGAAAGTTATTTTGAGCTATTGCAAATATCTCGATTTATATGTTAAATCAGTGATTGCATTTTCTTTTCTTCTTCTTCAATCTAGAAAAAGTGTTGGTTTTTCTAAAAATATTTTTAGGGAAAGTTGTTTTGAGCTATTGCAAATATCTCGATTTATATATTAAATCAGTGATTGCATTTTCTTTTCCTCTTCTTCAATCTAGAAAAGCATTTTTACGAGGAGTATTACGAGCAATGTTTATTATTTTTTAAATATATCTATGATAATTTGTTCTGAACTCTTGAAAATATCTCAGTTTACATGTTAGCTTAGTAACTGCATTTTACCTTCCTCTTCTTTAAACCATTAAAGCATTTTATGGAAATAATCATGAGCAGCGTTGGTTCTTTTGAAAATAAATCCATGAAAAACTGTTTCGAGTTGTTGCAAATATCTTAGTTTACTTGTTAAATTAGTAATTGCATTTCCATTTCGTCATCTTCAATCTGGAAATGCACTTTACAGGAGAGCATTCTTGATTCATTTGAAAATATGTCCAACAAAAATTATTTTGAACTGTTGCAAATATCTCAATTTACATTTTAGATCAATAGCTACATTTCTCTTTTCTCTTCTTCAATATGGAAAGTCGTTTTACGGAGAATATTATGAGTATTGTTGGTTTTTTTTAATATATATTTATGAGAATTTGTTTTGAGCTATTGAAAATAGCTTAGTTTAAATATTAAATCACTTGTTACATTTTACTTTTCTCTTATTCAGATTGGGAAAACATTTATTGAAAAGAATTATGAGCAGTGTTGGTTCATTTGAAAATAAATTCAGCTGTTACAAATATCATAGTCTACTTATTAGACCAATAATTGTATTTCCCTTCCAACTTCAATTTGGAAAAAAAAAACATTTTATGGAGAGTGTTACAATCATTGTTAATTGTTCTTTAATTATATTTATGAGAATTCATTTTTCATTGTAATTGCATGTAATTTTTCTCTTCTCAAACTAAAAAAATATTTTATGGAGAGGTATACGAGCAATGTCGTTTCTTTTGCAAATATATCTAGGAAAAATTGTTGTTGTTGATTTTCCAAAAAGTGTTGGTATTTTTGCATTTTATGGAGAACATTACGAGTACTGTTAGTTCTTTTTAAAAAATATACATTAAAAACTGTTGATGCAAATATATTTGTTTAGATGTTAGATCAGTAATTGCATTTCACTTTCCACTTTTCAATAAAAACATTTTTTGAGAGAATTATGAGCACTGATTGTTCAGTTGAAAATGTATATATGAAAAACTGTTTTGAACAGATGAAAATATCAAAGTGCAGATGTTAGATCAGTGCAATTGTCTATTGCATTTATGATTTTGAAATTTTCAACTGTGATAAATTTCATATTTGGAATGTTTACAAAGTAATGATGAAAAATAAAATCAGAGGACTCAACCGATCATTAATTGTTAATTGCATAATTGATAATTAATATTTGCACAGATACTACCCAGTTTTTTATCACACATGCCACTGTTTGCCACATATACAACATGGTCTTGAGACCTATATGATAAAATTAGTGATTATAGATGGAGTATTTTTTTATTAATTGATATCACTGTGCTCTAAGGGTGCGTTTGGAGCGTCATTACTTATTTAACATCTAAACTGAGAATTTTTTTTTTTGCAGCATGACCTCTTTCTGTTATTCTGTTGTAATTAATTTGAAAATTGTCGTTATTCTAATATATTACATGTAAATGGGCAAACTAATATATTTTTATCAGAAACAACTATAGTACAAGAAATTATCTAAAGGGACTCTTGCTTTTCAGATAGCAGTTTTCTGACTACACTTGAGAAGCTACTCTCCAAGAAGCAGCTTTAAAGCAGCAACCGCTCCAAATGCACCCTAATACACGATGCATTAAGAAAGCTACCTCAAATGTGCCTTGAGTTTACAATTTTAAATTTCAAATAATATTATTTATTTAATATTAGATTTAGATAATATTTCCATTGTTATTTGATTACGATGGTGCAAGATAACTAATATCCTACTAGTTTCTTTATATTTAAGATCTGTAATTAATTATTATAATTAATTTAATCTAAATAATTCACATTTAAACACTATTAAACCTTTAATTAATACACGTGAGCTTTAGATTAAGAATATTTTGTTCGTTACTTCGAAAAATGTGGGGTTAATTTTTTGAGTTCAATGATGTACTTCGGTTTTCTTGCTATAGATTTTACATAAAGTCTTTATCATTTGCTTGATTTACTGATTTAATTTTTTTTTTGTTTAGATTTTTAATTTAAAATAAGTATGAATAATTAATAATTACATGCCAAGTCTTTTTTAAAACTTGATGCTTAATTAATAGCATTTAGGCATTAAATGCATAAATTTATAATTTAAACAAATATTTACATAGATGTTACATAGTTCTTATGTATTTATATATCTAATATCTAAGTTTTTAGCACAATAAAAAAAATACTTGACAAGATCTTGACAATATCTTCCATGGATCGAGTGTCTCTGAACAAAGCACACGTTAACAGTTAGAAGTCTAAGAGAATAAACAAAAATACCTAGAGGACGACCAGGTGACACTAGTCAACTGACTGAAAATTGATCAAGCAGCCAACCAAGGGTCAATCAACCTAAAGACCAACCGAACTATAAGTTGATCGACTTGGAGACCGCTACGAACAAGAAGATGATCCGCAGAATATTCATCAATTGCATGTCATGAAACTGATTGATTGAGAGTCGGCCGATTAAAGATGGTCAAGGGTGTAATTGACATTTCACAATAATTATAGCCTACTATAAATAGAGAAGTATTAAATATAATAGAGAATTGTTGAAATCATATACAAATATACCTATCATCTCTCATATCTTGCCTTAAGTTTCTCTCTCATCCTCACGCTCCATTCCTTAAATATGGTTCACGGACAAATTTGAGTTCAAAATTTTCATATTTACTTTATAACATTTTCGTGATTTATACCAAAAAATATATATTTCATCTTTAAGAAAATAATAATAATAACATTTTGGATGTGATATTAAATATTTGAATTTTATGTACTAAAATATAAATATTTAGTCTTTCAACAATCAAATACATAAAAATTAGGAAGATTCACATAAAACTGACTCAATTCTATATTTATTTACATCTCTAATACCTTAATTTCAATTTTTACATACACACCATCTTACATATGAATTAAAAGACGTATTTAATTTTGTTTCAAAACTAAAATGGTGGTACTTGAAATTTTTGATGTGATGTGTAAGATTTGGATATAAATGTAAAATTTGAAGTTTGGGTTTTGTTATGTAAATACATAGATTTGGGTAGGAAGTATCTAAATGCCACTAAAAATTAAATGTTATATGTATAAAGATTGGGGTATTTTGAGTAGTTCATTATTTATTAAGTTAATTATTTGAAGATTATTTAAGTTTATTATTTAAAATGAGATATCTGTGAATCCCTCTCGTGTACGAAAAAAATTAGCGTACGTAAGACGTATGCAGCGCTGCATACATAATGGAGTTTATATTCGCTACATTTCGACATTATATTCGCGTTATATCTCCTGTAACCTCCATGTAACTTCAATGTAACCTACAAATATGTGAAAACAGAAGCGCTAAACTTATTTGTAAGTTCATGTAGGTTACATGTAGGTTATATGAAAGTTACATCAATGTTATATACGATATAACACAGATATAATGTATATATAACATGAATATAACCTCCATTATGTATGCAGCGTTGCGCACGTCTTACATACGCAAAATTTTCTCCTCACGTACCTATCCGATTCATGAGAAATATTTGAGTACGTAAGACATATGCAGTGCTGAGTTGGGTTACATAGAGGGTATCAAGTGTTATATCCGCATTATATTCGTATAAATTTCATATAAAATACATATAACTTAAAAATATATGAAAAGGGAAGTACTAAACTTATAGACGCGCAAATATTTCTAGTGATTCAAACGAGGCAAACATCCACTCCGGAAGAGAAAAAGCCATTCAACAGTGGAATTTACGTACATACGGCATATTCTTTCGGTTGAAAAGCCTTTCTGCTCTCTATCCTTCTCAGTTCCCACTGCTCACTCCAGCTCGCTCGATAGAGAAAGCACGCGAGAATGAGCTTCCCCCGGTCATCGTTATTGTGTCAGAAGTCATTCGGGTTCCATTGCTTTGTTTTTTTTCTTCTGTTTGCTGGTTTTTCTTTTTCAGAGGATCCCTACATCTTCTTGGACTGGGATGTCTCCTTTATCATGGCTTTCTCCTCTAGGAATCAAGCAGCAGGTAAAATTTTCCGCATTTTTTTAGCTATTATAATACCTATTTTTACCGTTTTGATCCAACAAGTGAAAGTACTGGTTTCCATACTTCGGATTTGGGTTGATTCTGCTGGATTGGGATGAATGACAAGAGGTGGAAGTTTGTTTCCTTACGATTTCTGTTCTGCGCTAGAGATGGTGTGCCAGGGTTGAATTTTTGTCCACTTTCGAGAGTGGTTGGCATTATTAATTATATATATATGCTTGATGAAATGTTCATGAAGACTTTCTTAGATATTTCATATTTATGCAGTTCGTAGTTCTGACCAAACATGGAGACACGGTATTTATAAGCTGATTTAAGTTGGTGAAGCTGTTTGGTGTCAAAATAAAAATACAATAAAATAAAAAGTTTAGTTTGATTTCAGTCCCACATCATAAACATGCACCAAGCCCTAAGATAAAT